GGGTTTTTATGCCTTATAAGACTGTGCTATTAAATTAATAAAAAATCTTCCACTACTGTTGTGAAAAATTTTTAATTTTCTATCATATCGATAGATATGTCAAATAAATGCATATAAATATGTTAATCTTATCGGATAATGTGATATTTAAATAATTTTAATTGATACGTGCTTTGTGTGCTGTCATCGTCGCACTTGGAACGATCTGTTAGCAGGTACCAAGTATGTGTGCGAATTTTTGGTATTTTTTTTTATCTTTTTTTTGGTATTTATCTGCATTTATTTGACATATTTTTCGATATGATAGAAAATTAAAAATTTTTCACAACAACGGTAGTGGGATTTTTTATTAAAAAAGAGAATTTTTATTAATTTAATAGCACAGACTTAGAAGGCATAAAAAGCCATTTAATTTTTATTATAAACATTTTTTTATATCTACTATAGTTTTAAAGATATACAGGGAAATAGGGTAACACTTATCTTCATTGAAGAGCTGCTTTCACCCCGAAGAACCGAAATTAGGCCAAAAAAAAATTGCCCGATACTTCTGTTGAGGTCTCCTACAAACCCACAAAGTTTAAAAAAATCGGATATTTCAGGTTACCAAAGTTCCCTTGTTAGACATGCAGGGTGGTTATCACGAAGCATGCATGACTGCGCAAGCGGGAAAAATGCGTTGATGAACTCTAAGACTATACTAGAAGTCAAATCTATTGACCGTTCAAGGTTTATCAGGGGTAAATTCACTACACCCTCGCCGCTCGAAGGCTCACAGTTGTTACCTATATAATAATCTTTCAACTCTCCGTCGTAACATCGAGACATTACAGCTGATCCCTCAGGGATTGTGATGAATCTAGAAATCGAAAAATTATATTTTTTAGAATATTTCATTCCTTTGTCCCTGAAAGAGCACATCAATACATTTTCATATGCCATGTATTTCGCTTCTCCTACGATTGCTTTCTTAGCTTCTGGAGGAATCTCTTTTCTGTTACGTCTAATTGTTCCAGTTAGATATGTATTTTGTTTCAAAAGGGCTTTGGCCAAGCGTAAGCTTGTGTAAAAATTATCTGTAAACAGATGATAGCCTTTGTGCAGATAATTTCCAATTGAAAGCAATTTTTGCGCAACCGTAAATCCAAGACCATATTTTCGTACTAAATCTCTGTCATCTGTATTTTTAGCTCCTTTGTAGCAAAAAAAATCCAAGCAATATTTAGAAATCGAGTCGCACAACATCCAAAATTTGATCCCCCATTTATGGTGTTTTTTGTTTGGGATGTATTGTTTTATGGCAGAATGACAGTGAGTACCAACTAACGACTCGTCGATAGATTATTGTTGATTTGGTATATAACAATATTTAGAAATCGAGTCGCACAACATCCAAAATTTGATCCCCCATTTATGGTGTTTTTTGTTTGGGATGTATTGTTTTATGGCAGAATGACAGTGAGTACCAACTAACGACTCGTCGATAGATAATTGTTGATTTGGTATATAATGCCGCTGAAATACAGTATTTGCATGTTTGACAAGCATATCAAACCTGCCACATGGGTCATAATTCGGATGGCCTGGTTCAAATAATAACGTATTGTCAATCAAGTGAGAAAACTTCAAAATCAGTTGAAACCTGTCCCTTGAAAACATTGTCCTAAACCATGGTATATGTCGGGAACCTTTTATCCAATAACTATCAATTGTTGGCCTTCTCGTAATCCCCATTTCGAGTAAGACTGCAATAAAGGCTTTTATTTCGTATATTGTTGTCGGCGTCCACTTTTTTGCTCAAGAATTATTCGAAACAGTGTGCGAGTCAAAAAACTGGGTAGCATATCGATTTGTTTCCCTTACGATGGTTTCAAGCAGTGATGTGGTAAAAAATAAATTGAAATATGTTATGGGTGTAGCATCGGGGGGAGGCGCACATCTAGGTCCAGGAGTCTCGAAAAAATTATTTGTTGCTTTGGAAAACACATTTGTCGGAGGAATATTCGTAAAAGTTGGTGTTTCTTCTGTTTCTGAAGATGAAGATGAGATAGTAGACTCACTTTCAATCCTCAGTCTTTTTCTTTGATGAGTTATAATAATGCTATCATCACTACTTCTGTCTGTTCTTTCACCATCCTCAGAATCACTAGCAATCGAATCAACGTCCGAAATAATAGCCCGTGACATGGTTATTTTTTAAAAATAATATATAAAAACGGTAAAAAGTTATTTTAGAATACACTCGTGTTACAAAGTACGCGTGAGGTCAGACTGTTCACTCCCACGGAGCAACAAAGAAACACTGAAACACGCAGCGCAAAAGCGCTTTTGCGCCGCGTAGCAGTCAAACGGTTAACTGTATAACTGTTTGCAAGGTGAGAAATGCATTGCTTAATAAATGGTAGTTTGGTCTTACAATGAAGATCTGAAGTGGAGTGATCACGCGGGAGGTTGAAGATGATCTTAAGAGGCTTGTTCTGTAGACTCTGAAGACTCTGGATGTGAGCGCGCGCGGCAGCTGACAAAATCTGGGCGCCGTAGAGCATTATTGGGCGGATACAGGCCGAAAAAATTAAAATTTTTAAATCTATTGGGAGTTTAGATGATGGGGAGGTCAGGACTCTTGCTGCACCTATTGCAGCAAAAGCTTTTTTATGCCTATCCGCGATGGCATAGTAATTAAGTTTAGAATCGATGGTAACTCCAAGGTAAGTGATATTGGTAGACCAAGGGATGCAATTGTTACTTAAGTATAGGGGAGGGATTCGAGTTTGGATGCCTCGCTTTCTTGTAAACAAAATGGCCTGTGTTTTACCGCAACTCAGGGACAGTTTCCAGTCCGCGAAAAACTTGAGTAGGAGGATGAGGTGATTCTGCAACTTAACCACTAAATTTTTGTGGCATCGGCGTACAGGGCGAGAGAGGTGCTCGGCGAAACAGGGAGATCATTAATATAAATCAGGAAGAGCAGAGGGCCTTGAGGAACTCCAGATTTAATATGCAATAGAGGAGATTTGTCTTGGCCGAGTTGAACATAGAAAGTACGATTGGTTAGATACCAGTGAATGAGTTTAATAATACAAGGATGAAAGTTCAATTTAATTAATTTGTAGATAAGACCGTTATGCCAAACCGAGTCGAAGGCTTTCTGGAAGTCCAGGAGAACCATAGCCGCGAATCGGTTTGTGTTCATGTTATTGGCATGGTGCTGTGCCACCCTGATGAGCTGTTGCACGGTGGAGTGGGATCTCCGAAAACCAAACTGATGGTCAACCAGGATGTTGTTCTTATTAATGTGATCGTTGCCGATAGCGGGCAAGAGCATAGTCAAACAAGTGTTGCATAAATGCATTAGTTGTTGCAAATACAATCCCAAGACACCACAGTACATAATGGGGAATTTACCAAAAAATAGAATTATACAAACACGTCCATTTGAAGCCGTAGGAATCGATTACTGCGGACCCTTTCTTATTAAAGAAAAGAAGTTCAGAAACAAAACCAAATTGAAATGTTACGTCGTAGTTTTTGTTTGCTTCGCGACGAAGGCGATATACATTTAGAATTAGCGACCGATTTAACAACGGAATCGTGTCTAGGAGCGCTCAAACGATTTGTCGCGAGAAGAGGAAAACCGCGTCATGTATACTCGGACAATGGCACTAATTTCGTAGGCGCAAAAAATGAAATTATACAAATTCGTGCACTTCTACTATCCGACGAATATAAAAACAGACTTCGGCAATTCCTAACGCAGGAAAACATTGAGTGGCATTTCTCTCCTCCTCGTTCTCCACATTTCGGCGGTCTTTGGGAGGCTGCAGTTAGATCATTTAAAAAACATTTGCATAAAACAATAGGTGATGCCATGTTCACATACGAGCAATTCTATACGTTAATCGTTGAGATCGAAGCTATACTTAATTCACGTCCCTTGATACCGATATCCTCTGATCCCAACGATTTCCTTGCCCTATCACCCAATCACTTCCTTATAGGAGAGTCGTTGGCGAGCCTACCGGAACACAATTTTGTCGATACTCGAACTAATAAGCTGTCACTCTGGCAACACATTCAGAAAATTAAACAGCATTTCTGGAGAAGGTGGCAGACAGAATATTTACAGGAGCTGCATACTAGGAGTAAATGGCATACTGGAGATGGCACAAACATCAAGGAAGGAACGCTGGTGACAATCAGGGATGATAATTGTCCACCCCTTCAATGGCAACTTGGGCGAGTAGTCGCTCTGCACCCTGGAGAGGATGACGTGGTCCGCGTGGCCACAATTCAAACACCACACGGCACTTATAAGCGTGCTCTGAAAAAGTTGGCACCGTTGCCTATCGAGACGAGACTTAGTTTATTGTACCATAACTCATGTATATTGTAATTATAATTAGAATTAAGAGACATCACACAACACATGCGCTCACACATCACCATTGTATATAACATATTTTCTTTTGTATAGTTATTGTATAATCTTTGTTTTTTGCACGAATTCGCGATGCAACGCTATCAACTTTAATAAAGACGGCGCGTTAGTAAAGGTCGTAAATCTTCACTTCGATGTTTCGACACCGCGTATCGTACAGTGATATCCCTACAATCGTTTCCGGAGGTAAGGAATGATAATTGGGATATGTCTTTGGTTTGTGTCTTGTTCTCGTGAAGTGTGTTTTTGAACTGCCTCCTCGTTCGAGGAATCTCCCGAAAGTAAAACTGAACGAGGTGTGTTAGCGGGGGTGAGACATGTGGATTGGTTGAATTGCATTTTTTCGGGAGTGGCTAGAGAATCGGTCGAGTGAATATGATTGGCTGAATAAATTTTGTGTAAAGTGACCTCCCTCCAGCTAACGGTCACCCTCAGGTAAAGAGAGTACCTTCGAGTGACGTACGCGGAAATTCCACATGCCTCGCCCGCGACCGTAGCAGGCAAGAATCTTTATGATGCACTCTGACTCAGGCAACCCATGTTCGAACAAAGAAACGAAAATTGAAATTCTAAGCCATAAAATAAAGGCGAAAATAATGAAACTAAGAGACTAACGATGTTCAATGGCTTTCAGAAAGTTATTGTTGCTACGGACGGGTCACAGTTTCTTCAATAAGTAAAAGGCAAATTAAGAAATAGAAGGTGGTGTTAAAAACGTGAGGAAGAGATTAGAAACTCTGACCCGCTTTCTGAATAGAGGAAGAGGACAATCGAACAGATTTTATACAGTTTTTTTGCAAGGTCGTTGGCATGACTGTTCTTTTTTTATAGCTGTCGCAGCGACTAGTGATTTCATCAGAAACTGTTTTAACTTTGAGGTCCTTCCGAATGTCGTCATTTCGAACATACCATGGAGCATTGGTTACTGTTCTAAGAATTATAGATTGTAACGACTCAATTTTAGCAACGTGGCTTTTGGCTGCCATGCCCCACATCTCGATGCCATAGGTCCAGATGGGCTTTATAATTGTTTTGTAGATTAAAAGTTTATTGTCAAGACTTAATTTAGATCTTTTGCATGTAAGTCAGCACATGTTTCTCCTCTTGATGCGGATTTGGTCGATTTTAGAACGTATGTATTGTTTCCATGTTAATTTTGAATCCAAGTGTAGTCCCAGGTATTTAACCGATTTGGTTTGTGGTACGGAAGTATTGTTGAGTTTAAGATCCGAAATAGTACCCTTCTTTAAGGTAAAGGTAATGTGCTTGCACTTGTCCGTGTTTACTTTTATTTTCCATCGGTGCAACCATTCTTCTAATTTTGTGATATGTTGCTGTAAGTTATCATACGCTGTCTTTGGGTCATTGTGGGCAGATAGTATAGCTGTGTCGTCTGCGAATGCAAATGTATCAGTTTCAATCATGGTTGGAATATCTGCTGTATATAATGTGTATAAAAATGGGCCCAAGACAATATTTGACGAAAAAGGTTCTTTGCTTTAAGTAGGATTTGATGAGTTTGTAGTAGGCCTTGGGAAATTTTTGATTAATTTTGTGTAGTAGACCTTCGTGCCAGACTTTGTCAAATGCCTTTTCTATATCTAGAAAAAGTGCCGTGCAGTATTGCTTGTGTTCGAGAGCATGTGTAATCTTATTTGTAAGTCTGTGTATCTGTTCTGAGGGGAAGGGTAGGAGAAGACGAAGGTTAATAAAGCCGTACTCTACACACTTTCAAACCTTGTTTTAATTAGACGCGGAATGCGTGAACATTAATTGCTAGCGCAAGTAAAAGCGATGAATACAATGAAATAAAATAACGGTCTGAGGCGAACGATTGAGCAGCACGACGTTCTGCCGATCGTCGTTTTCGACTCCCCGGTTTCCGCCGGTCTTTCGGGTTATATGCCTCCTTAGACAAGGACAGGAGGGAGCAAGCCGCGCTACGGAAAAGCGCGGGAGAGAAAAAGCGCGGGCGGAAAAGCGCGCGTAACAAAAAAAGGCGCCAACTTTCTGGTGAAAGGTGGCTGGTCAGGAAAAACCCTGACCCGTGCGAATCTGGCGAGAATCAGATGCGAGAACTGACCATAGCCAGACTCGCACTGCCTTGGCGGAGGGCATACAGAAATCCTTGGCGTAGCTACAGTTCTATTGTTGCGTGTTTGTTTCTGAATCCAAATTGATGTGACGGTATTATGTTTTGCTCTATACTTATCTTTTTCATTCTTTTTAATATTATTTTTTCCAATATTTTCGATGGTGTGGACAGTAGAGAGATAGGTCTATAGGATGATGGCAAGTGTAGATTTTTATCGGGTTTATGTAGTATGATAATTTGGTGTGGACAGTAGAGAGATAGGTCTATAGGATGATGGCAAGTGTAGATTTTTATCGGGTTTATGTAGCATGATAATTTGTGCTATTTTCCAATTAATGGGAAAGTATTGGGTTCTTAGTATAGCATTAAATATTATAGTTAACATTCTGACAGCTTTAGGTGGAAGTTCTTTGATGATTTTTCCATTAATTAGTTCGAAACCGGGAGTTTTTTTGATTGAGATGTCGGCGATAAGATTTTTAACTTCCTTGACGGTGGTTCTTGGAATTTCTTGATTGTGATGAGTATTTGTCAGGATTGTAAAACTTGTGCTGACGTGATTGTCATTAGGTTGGAAAGTGTTATATAAGTGTTCAGCGAAAACTGTAGCTTTTTCGTGGGCATTTCTTGCCCAGCTACCGTCGGATTTCTTGATGGCATGGGACAGTGTGGTAGGTCTTTTGAATCGTTTGGTGGCTTTCCATAACGAATAGTTCGTATCTTCGTTGGGAGAAAGACTATGGATGTATGAGTGGAATTCATCATTGCAATGCTGCAGTATTAGCTGTTTCACTTCTTTGGTGATTGCGTTTAGTCTTTTTTTGTTGAAAGAACTTTTTTGCTTTTGCCACTTTTTGAATGATGTGCTCTGGATATGAATTAAATTGTCGTTTACATTTTGCTGGTTTAGTAGACATCCATCCTGCCTCTTGAATAAGATTAGTAAAATTAATCACAGCTGATTCTATTTGTTCAGGGGTTTTTAATGGTATATTGCAGTTTATATTGACTTCTAAGTAGTTTTTAAAGTGTGCCCAGTTTGTGGTATTGTTGCATAATGTTGTCATAGCTTGGGTTATAACGGGTTGGTGAATATAATCTAGTAGTATCGGCGAATGATCTGAACTGAGATCAAAGCAGGAGTGTACTTGAAAGTGAGTTTTATTTAACCCTTTGATTATACCGAAGTCTAGTAAGTCAGGTGATTTGTCGTATGCAGCGGGCCAGTAGGTTGATTCATTGGTTGTTAGTGTATCTATGGATGGTGTTCGTATAGTTTGTTCTAGCGTTTTTCCTCTGGGCGAGTTTGTTTTAGAGCCCCATAGAGCGTGCTTGGCGTTATAATCACCACCAGCAATGAATTTGTTTCTCAGACTTTGAAAGAAGTTTGTGAATTGGTGTAAAGAGATTTTCTGCTTTGGGGGGCAGTAAACTGCAGCCAGCGTGAGTTTGTGGTGCGTTGTGTTAATTGTTACTGAGGTAGCTTGTATGTTCATGTGTGCTATTGTATTTTGGAGGAAATGTTTGATGTAATTTTTTATGATTACTGCTGTTCCACCACGAGCCTTACCAGTTGGATGATTAGTGGTGTATACAGGGTGTATATTGTAGAGTGGTATTTTCATATTGTTTTTATCTGTTAGGTGGGTTTCTGCTACAAGCATTATATCGATTTTATTGATACTTAGAAAGGTTTTTAATTCTGGTAACCTTTGGTGTAGCCCGTTCGCGTTCCAGATAGCGATTTTTAATTTATAGTCCATTGTTATTTTGGTTTGTTAGTAAGCACGTTAGTAAGTAGTTCTAACAATAAGTTGATTTGTTTTGATTGTTCTTTTAACAGTTGTGATTGTTCGAATATCATGGTAGAGATGGATTCAGTGTTTTTTGCAGTTTGTAACAATAATTTTTTAATTTCAGATGTTTCTGATATCGATTCGTCATGTATTATAAGAGGTTGCGTTCTGTTCCGTGTTATGTCAGCGTTGGACATTGTCCGTGGGGTCGGGTGACTGTGTGTATTGTTAGTGATACTATTTCGAATATTAGTCTGAGCTGGTGAAGAGGCAGTGTCTATGATTTTTTTAGCTCTAAGTGTAGGGTATAGTTTTTGCTGTAATTGTTTTCTTATTATACAACCTCTGTAGCTGGCTGGGTGATTTCCTTTGCAATTGTGACATTTTACTTCGTCTATTTTGCCGGATGTTGGGCAGTTTGAGGTGAGGTGCATGCCAGCACATTTTACACATGCAGGATTTCTAAAGCAGTAATTCTTTGTATGCCCGTAAGCTTGACAACGTATGCATTGCGGTATATCTCTTTTGATTTTCGGTGGTTCGAATGTAATGATGGTATTAAGGAGTTTGTTAATTTTATACATATATATCCTTATTGTTCTCATTAGGTTCAAATTCAATAAAGAAAAGCGGTAACGGTTGCTTGGTGTCGTGTTTGACTATATTGTTAATCTGTCTTACCTGGTGTCCGAGGTCTTTCAGTTCGCTGATAATGTCATTAGTGTTTGTTTCGGGATGTATACCTCGCAGAACCGCCTTATAGCTTCTGTCTTTCTTCAGCTGATATGTGTAGAAGTTTGCGTTCTTCTCTTTCAGGGCTAGCACAATCCTACTATATATTTCCGTTGTATTTGCTTCGACTTTGACATGATTATCTTTTAATTTTTTTAGTGTATAGTTATTATCTGCTGTTTTTTTAAGAAGTTCGCGTAAGGGTTCAATAATTTGAGCTTCGATATGAATGGGAGGAGGTCTAGGTGTAGCTGCCTTTGGTACAGAAATATCCATGGGCTCTGTCATTTCATCGGTATCCTGCGTTAGTACACTAAATGCATTGGAAAGGGGTATATCGGTTAACACGTTCCCTGCCGGACCGTTTTTTGAAGACTTTCCGTTCAGGCGTCCGAGGTCTTTCAGTTCGCTGAAAATGTCATTAGTGTTTGTTTCGGGATGTATACCTCGCAGAACCGCCTTATAGCTTCTGTCTTTCTTCAGCTGATATGTGTAGAAGTTTGCGTTCTTCTCTTTCAGGGCTAGCACAATCCTACTATATATTTCCGTTGTATTTGCTTCGACTTTGACATGATTATCTTTTAATTGTTTTAGTGTATAGTTATTATCTGCTGTTTTTTTAAGAAGTTCGCGTAAGGGTTCAATAATTTGAGCTTCGATATGAATGGGAGGAGGTCTAGGTGTAGCTGCCTTTGGTACAGAAATATCCATGGGCTCTGTCGTTTCATCGGTATCCTGCGTTAGTACACTAAATGCATTGGAAAGGGGTATATCGGTTAACCATTTGTTCCGCTGTATATCCAGGCTGTCCCCAGCTGTGTTATATGGTATTATTTTACGTTTTTTGTTAGTGTTATTCTCCCGCTCGTCACTCGATTGTTTAGTAATACCCCTTTTATCGTTGTGTTTATCATTTTTGCATACAGTAAATTTACCATTGTCTTTAATAATTTTAAATTGGATTTTGTCAGTTTCTGCCATTTGTCTTGTTGAACTTGCCAGCAGGCAAGTTTAACAGATTACACGCACTCTCGCTCGCACTCCTGGTAAGGCACAATGAGCACACACAAACACACTTAGTAGTTCGCTTGTCGTAAACACGTCCGATTAGGTCGGCAGCTTAAGCGAGACTGATTCAGAACAAATAACGCGAAATGCTTAGTGCCGGCCCAGTGTAACCAGTAGTTCAACTCTAACGTCTAACAATGAAATCACGGCTACTAACATGGCCGTTAAGTTTGGCCGACAAGTTACTTATACTGGATGTTTACCCAGCTCGAGTAGCGACTGAGAGTCGCCATACGGTTAACTTCAACTCTGGACGAGTCCATTTTCGGATTGCCCCCCTGTGGGGCGTGGGCCCCACGTTGCGAAACACTGATCTATACTGACACTTGTAGAATCCAAACTGACTGACACTTGTAGAGAATTTACTGTATCGCGATCACTTTGTCTTCAATGACCATTACAGGGTGCCGACTGAGAGCATCGGCATGCTTCAAACGTTCCCCTGGACGGAGTTCTACTTCGCATGAGTACTCTTCTAATATCAATGCCCAGCGTGCCGCCTTCGGCGTTGGGTCTTTCTTGTGCAACGTTTTTTTGCAGTCCGTGTGGATGCTCCGTCGTAGCGGTAGAATCGCATATCTTCAAACTAGTTCTCGCGAGAAAGTATCTTCTAACGCCCCGAACGCCTGCCTTTGTGGTTCGCCGAAATTGAACACGCACGAGCATTTCACTACGTCCAACAGTGGCCGCGCTATTTTCGCGTAATTTTTTACAAACTTCCGAAAGTATCCTGTCAGGCCCAAGAAACTTTGTATATCCCTCTTTGTTTTCAGTTCCGGGAAACGCTGAACTGCTTTGATCTTCTCCGGTGACGGATTAATGTGTCCATTCTCTATTTCATCGGACGTTAACGTAATTTTTGTTACTATAGTTGTCGTTACACGACTTACTGGTTTATAACTACGAACAAGATCCTGTACCTTAGTTTTGTACGGCTCAATCGCATCGATTTCATCTGGTGCATTTCCGATTATTTTCATTAACTGAGTAACATGATGATCGGGTTCTGTCTCCTCGTGCGTCGCTGCGGAACTGTTTTCGTAATTGTCGGGAGAATGATTGATACACGCTTCGTTCATCGGCAATACTTTTACCGTGACGTTACCGCGCTGTATACATACTTCTACGTTCTTTAAAAATTCATCTCCTAAAATAATTCTCGATCTCGTCGTATTAGTTGGTACGACAAACGCTTCCGTCTTACATGACTGCCCGTATATTTTTATTCGACATTCAACTTTCTCACCGGCGCGGTTACAGCATTACCGAAACCTGTGAAAGTTCTATCGGTTTTATCTAATCGCGGAGAACCGATTTCGGTGTAGACGTCTTGTCTAATTAAATTCACTTCGCTGCCGGTATCCAGTAGTGCGGAGCAGGATATTCCGTTAATTTCTACCGTGATCAATTTATCGCTCGGGCTACCCACCCAATTTACGTTCGCCGTTTTCGTCGCCTCTTTTCGCGCCTGCTGACAGTCTGCCGCGCGATGACCAAATTCGTTACATGCGAAACATTTCTGACCTTTATCTTTATTTGTACAATCTTTCAATTCGTGCTCTTTAGAACCGCATATAAAATAACGTAGTTTCTTATTTGCCTCGCTTCGTGTCATTTTTTTGTCTCGAACCGTGTCTTGTTTAACAAATTTTCCCTTCCGATTCATCGATTCTTTCATTCTATCATATTTTTCGAACGCATTTTTTAATTGAGATAACGTATTTGCTCAGTACAAAATCGCCTTATTCGTTTCCTCGTCGGGTACGCCACTAATTATATACTCGATCAGTGAGACGGTATCGATACTCCCCTGACTTGCGATTTCTTGCATCGCGTACATATCACGTCGCGCACTTTCACTGGGTTGTCGCTTCCGATTTATTAATTGCCTATGAATCGTTGCGCTGTTTATTTTAGTCTTAAATTCTCGCATTAAGCACCTTTTTAATCTTGACCAGGATTTAATGTCTCTTTGAAAGCTAACAAATTGTTTCGCGGATCCCGTAAGTAATCGCTTTGCGTATATCAACTTTTGCAAATTGTCCCAACCTAATAATTGACTGGTGTCCTCGAATTCTTCGATCCATTTCGTTATATCTAATTTATCGTCCCCGTAAAAATGCGAAATGCTTTCCTCTACGTCTCTAATCGTAAATCGATCTCTCGCTCGCATGCGAACAATATCGGACCTAGTATCTGATCGCCGTCGACTCTTTCGCACAATACCTGACCGTTCCTGATCTGCAGCATCCTCGTCATCGGTCCCGCTTTCTATGTCTTCTTCGGACGATTCACTGCTTTCATCTTCTGTTCTATGCGCGATGATTGTCTCGTTCAATTCAGGGTCGCTAGATGCTTCATCCTCGTCTTCCGTGTAGTTTTCGATATGTCGTTTTAATCTGTTTCGTAATTCTTGTTTCTTCCCTCCTGTAGATAATTGCATCTTCTTCAACGTATCTCTTAATTCGACCACTCTCATTTCGTCAATTTTGTTTTGTGGTATTTTTTCTTTTTTGTGCACCTGGCGCGTTTCGTGTTTTTCGTCTATCTTCACTCTTCGATTTTGTTGCCACTTGTTCCTCTTCGTGTTCTTGCCGTTGCACATTTTCTACACCAACATTGACAGCTTTTTCTGTAGCCATTGTCTTAGTCTGAGATCTTCACCACGGTATATACTGCTTAACTGATATTGTCCAACTTCAACAATTCGATTCCGTCACTACCACTGTTTTCCTTTTGACCGATACTTGTCGTTCACCACTTTACAACTGATGACGAATGCTAATTTACACTTCGTCTACAACGTATCGAACGACTTCACGATCTCCACTCAATGATACTCGACGAAACGAACATTGCGAGTTCAACAATTTTACACCTTTACCGTTGTTTCAACCCGTTCCTCATCCGCTGCTCTCGATCCCGGACGAGCCCCCAAATGTAAGATGTGAACAGGGAGAAGGGAGCAACAACGGGTCAACGTTGTAAAGTTTTAATAATAAAATAGAAAAAGAACAAAATAAGTTTTTTCGCTCGTGTCACGCCTCGCCGACACACCGCTCTCCTACCCACACACACACCACGCACACGCTCACACACGTCGTCTTTCGGTAGCCTTTGTCTACCGCTGCGCTAGACCTCCCACATTAATGAACATTATAAATAAC